ATAAAAAAAAAGTGATAAATTTCGTCCACCTAGTTGGATCGAAAAACACAATGATTTAGGTCTTCAGATAGTCTTACTAGAAAAGCTGACGATTTTATAGTTAAAAAAGGACAAGTGTTCCGGTCATTTTGATAGAATTGTAGCATATACATCAAAATTAATCTGGGAAATATGTCTCTCCCACATTAGGAGAGACAATATTTTTCTTATAGATACATTAAAATGTGTCTTTTTTTTCTTTTCTTTTTTTTCTTTTTTATTTATTGTGGTGGGACCCACAATGCCTTTGAATCTGCAACATAAGAGAAGATGCCTCCTACTATATAAGAAAATACAAACCCATACAATATAAATGCATTAATTTTCAAGAGTTGGTGTGGTAGAAATAGGTCTGTTTTTTAGATGGGATAAGGTATATTAATGTAATAATGTTTTTTTTTTTTTTTTTTATAAATCAGATATATGAATCTAAATTCAAAGATGAGTCAAAGTGACTTGGCCAAAGCGAAGGTTCTTAGGAGGTGATATTTCACTGAAGTAATGCACATGAACGACGGAATGAATATACAAAAGGTGCTTCTTTAATGAAAGAAGAGAATATATATGTGGAAAATATATTTTAATGATGAGTGAGAGTATGAATCATAATTGTTTTATCCTTGTGGATCCCATGAGGTGTGACACAAGTATAATATTCATCAGTTAAATACTAACTTGTGCTAAGTTATAATTACAAATGTATATTAAGAAAATGTGTTTAATGTTTCTCATATTATAGAAGATAAATTTATCTTTTATATATACATAAAAATGTATAGGGTCTATGTAAGAAGAAGAAAGAGAAAATAATATATGGATCTCACATATTTTTTTTTTTTTTTTTTAATAACAGGATCTCACATATTTTGATATATGTATAGGAGAGAAATTTTTAATATGGTCCAGGCCACCATGGTCCTTCCACTAAAAATTTGACACCTGGATTAAATTTTTTTTCTTCCTTCTCTCTCCTCTCTTCTCAATCTTTTCTCTCTTTCTCTTACCTCAGTCCTACCAAACTTTTGTTGGTCCGGAGCACACTAATTTTGCTCGTATAGGAGATAAAAATTAATTCTTATAATATAAGAGACACTAAACCAAGAAAATATGCTATTAATTAAGGGTTTTATAAGAGTTATGTTGTAGAAAAAATGATTGTGTAATGTTATAGAGATTCGTTTTACGTGCCATAATTTTTTTCTTTTCTTTTTTCTTCAAAAAATGTGGGCTCCACAAAATATTATGTGTATAAGAAACTTTGTTGTGTCATATTAAATGACAAATACAAATCCCATTAACTAAAATACTAAGCTACAATTTATGGACCATAAGCTATATTTTGAGCTGAGCTTCACAGTAACTCGTTAAGCTTTAAATCTTAAATCATAATAAGACAAAAATAATTTTAGGAAAAGAAATAACTACTTATTATATTCAATGTGATGGCATGAACTGTTGCAATGGCTTACCAACTTGTTTAGGAGATATTAATTTGATCTAGATCCAATTAGGCTCCTTCTCCACTCTTCTCATTCACTAAAGGAGAAACCTTAAGATTCCATAGGACATCCTCAAGCCTAGGGCAACAACCTTTTATATACGTAAGGCCTTCACCCTCATCCATGATGCTCTCAAGTATTTGTATATCTTACCGTTTACACTCTATATTTGTTCATGCATTGACTTGAGTATTGAAGTCTCTGCATATGTATCACCCTTTCTTGTCCACCACAGATAGGGATGTGCGTGGAATGGTTCATAACTGGTTTTAACAAAAATCGAACCGAACTAGTTTTAAACAGTTTGGTTTTCAAATCGAACCGGTTTTCAATCAAAACCAGTTATGAACCATAAACCGGTTGTTAAGTTTAAAACTGGTTTTTTAACAAATTCAAAATCGATTTTTAATGGATTGTGCTATTTTTATAAGTAGTCGTTTGTTTCTCCCAGTTATAGGTAGTTGACCAACTATTTCTTGCAAAAATCTTCATTGTTTTGGAACTCTCAGGACGAAATGATTCTTATAGAAATTGTTTCACATTGTTTTGAGAGTGATTGGTAGAAGAATAGTTGAATTATTTTAAAATTATAAAAAAAATTGCTCTTCGTTCTTTCAAGATTTATGTTACTAAGAGTTTCATTTGAACTATGGAGGAAGGTATGGGTAAGGGTGTTCAAAATGTCCAAAAGAACTAAACCAATCAATAAACTAGTTGCTCCACATTTTAAAAACCGATTATTTTTAAAAATCGGTTTCATATGAAACTGTATTTTATTTTTTATAAACTGGTTATTTACCAAACCATAAAAATAATTGGTTATCCATAACCAACTCTTTTATAATTAAAGAACAGATAAGTAAATCCATTATGAGTTGTCCTTTTAACGGCGCTCTCTCAGAGACGTTAAGCTAATTGATTAATTTAGTTGCCCTTTTCGTTCAAATTTTTTAACTTTATCTTTGTCATTTCAAAGTCTTCGCCTTGTTAAGTTATGAGTTTGCCAGGAGGCCTATATGTGGTTATTTTATTTTTTTGAGAAAACAAGTAGTTACGTTACATAAGAAGTGCTTTTATTAGGATGGGACCTTTCGATTTATGTGTAATTTTTTTAAATAAATGTTTTCTACTTGAGCTGCTTAACTTTTTTTTTGCTAGTTTATTGTTTGGAAGTTTGAGTCAATTGACTAATATAATAGGCATGATAAAAGATAATACTTATTTGTTATTTAATTGTAAAGTAGTTTGGTTATCGATAACCAATTATTTTTATGGTTTGGTAAATAACCAGTTTATAAAATAAAATGCAGTTTCATATGAAATCGGTTTTTAAAAATAATCGATTTTTAAAATGTGGAGCAATTTGGTTATGGATGAGTTTGATTCTTTTGGACATTTTGAACACTCCTAACCACATAGAAGCTACCTTTGATCGATCAATTCTCTATCAATGGAAGTTTACAGATAACTTTAATCTTATCTAGATATTTATATTTAAACAAGTGGCATGACAACCGATCGATGTGCCCATGGAAAAGAGAGACAATGGAGAGTGAAATTTTTGGAGTGCAATGTTTGTGTAACAACTATCTTTCATAATACCATTTTAGTTAATTATTAGATTCATATCAATTAATTATGATTCATATCAATTAGTATTAATAAAATGATTAGAGTGATATCAATTATAATTCGGCTGATGACAACATAATTGATTGGCATCAATTAGGATTATTATCATTCATTGTCATTACTGTTTTATCGTAAATTCTTGTTATAAAAGGCTAGTTAGCTGAATGGAATAAGCAACAAGGAGAAAGTTAGGATTTGTTTGATTACATTTTTGTTTGTGTTTTTTTCTTCATTCAAAAAAACTGTTTCAGTATTAGGTAATGTTACATTAATAATTTTATATTTATCCAATAGTAATATATCATCATAAACTTTTCCTCCCACTCAAATAAAAGTTTATTTTCATTGGGTATTTTTTTTTCTTTTTTCGAGGTTGTTACATTGAAGAGAGTTGCCCCCATCTTTTTAAGGATTTAATATTTCTACATTAAATGTAAATAAATTAAAATTATCTACATTCGCTCCCGACGTCGTTTTGGGTTTAAAAATTTAAAAATGATAATCAAAAAGACTATTATAACCCTAAAATAAGTTATAATTACAAGAGTAAATATCCTTTTAAGTCCCTAACAAAAAATATGATCTCCACTTTAGCCCTTAAAAAAAAAATTAGTCTCGAGGTCCCTAAAAAATTCAAAGTGGACTCATTTAGTTAAAATCGTGGTCCTTCACAAATTCAAAAAAATCCATATTAGTCCCTCAAAAAGACTAAAATGGATCCACTTTAAATTTCACAGGGACCAGACGACTAACTTTTTTTTGTAAGGGACTAAAGTGGGGATCAGATTTTTTGTTAGGGACCAAAAATAATATTTACTCTAATTACAAAAATATTTTGATTTTCACCTTAAAACGATACTGACGGTAGAAAAAAGGGAACTTTTTTTAAACAACAATTTACATGCAATTATTTTCTTCTAAACAAAAATATAAACTGTTAAACTTGTCCCTCTAAATAATGTATTATTCTTTGACCCCTCGTGGAAAGTTATCTTGCTTCGCCCCCAGTTTGTTATTGAGTTGGGTTATAGTTTAAATGGTGAAGGCTTAAGTTGTGCCATATCATATGAACCAATTCACATCTTTCACTTTTTCTCACAATGGGACAAGTGTTGTTGCACTTACATATTCTTTTTAAGTGGAGAAATGTTAACAATGTACTTTTAAACATTTTTTATTATTTAGTAAATGATATATGAATTCCACTAACAAAAATAGATTATTTAAGAAAATCATCATAAAATATAATCTAATAATAAAATTTTTTAAAAGAAAGTATTGCTGCCACCATTCCTCTTTTTTAAGTAAAGTAGAATAATAAATGAATAGATATTCTTTAATCTGAAGACAACAACATCGGACTCCCATAACAGGTGTCTCACTGACATAGGCTTTCAACCTTTTTAGGATTTCAACAAGCAACACTGATCATTTTGTCATGTTTGACAAATTTTTTTATCAAAATGTGTGGCAACAGTAAATTTTGCTAAAATATTACGCGGTATATTTCGATACACTGTGTAGTAAAATATATTTACAAGTAATTCGCTACATAGTGTAATGAAATATGCTATGTCAAGCTGCATAGTCAACAAAAATGACACATTCAAGCATAATTTGATACACAGTATATACAAAATGGTCACCCTTCCCTTCAACAACATGCTCCCATTAATGCCTCACTTTTTCTCCATTTCCACTGGCTATAGCCGGTCATCAATTCCAGTAAACAAAATCAACGGCTCTGATTACTCCTAATCTTTCCCACCACCACACTTTCTCTCTCCTTTTTCACTTCTAGACAACACTGCTACAAAAGCTACCTCAGCACCTTTTTCGCGCTCTCTCTCTCTCTCTAGCTCCTCTTATGCTTTCTCTGGGACCTTGTGCTGTGGAGTGTCTTTGGGAGGTAAGCAAGCTTGTCTCTCTTATGTGTCAAAGCTTTGTTCTGTGTTTTTCTGCTTTTTTTTGCTGTTCATTTTCATTGGCTTTACTGTTTCACTGTTTTGTATATGGGTTTTCATTTATTTGTTTTTGTTTTTGTTTCTCTCTTGTGCCTGTTTGATATTCTTCCACTTAATGAGCTTCATGTTTAAAACTTGGCCTCTTATTAGTGACTACTTTTTATGTGATTAGTTTCTTTTGTTTGGTTTGATGGTATTGGTGAAGTCTAGCACTTTCTCCCTTTTGTTTTCTTGTATTGATATCTTTTAAAGTTTCATTTTTTATTTTATTTTTATTATAGCCCACTTTATGTCTCATGTTCAGGGTTGTGTGTGTGTGTGTGTGTGTGTGTGTGTATTTTAATGATTCTGTTTTGGTTTTGAAGGAGTTTCTGTTTCTGAAAGAGAGAGTGACCAGGTGGTTTAATAAGAAGAAGGGGGTGTTTTGTTGAAGATTGTTTACGACTAAAGTTTGAATTTTTATGTGAAAAACTTTGTAAAAATAGATGATAATGGATCCACGTCTTCGTGGGTTTAGTAGTTCCACAAATGAAATCCGGTTGGGGAATCAATCTTTGCCTATTCTGCAGAGTCAGAGATTTGAAAATGGTTTCTTTGATCAAAATAGGGGATTTGGTTTCCTTGAGTCCAATCTAATACCAGCTAATGCACCTTCATCCTTGGTTTTGACACATGAGGAATCTTCCCCGGAGGACTGTGATTTTTCTGATGCAGTTTTGGGTTACATCAGTCAGATCCTTATGGAAGAAGAGATGGAAGATAAAACATGCATGCTTCAAGATTCTTTGGATCTTCAAATTGCTGAGAAATCATTCTATGAGGTGATAGGTGAAAAGTACCCACCTTCACCATTAGGTAATCCAACTGATGTGGGTGGAGATAATAACTTGTCTGAAAATTATGGTACTTATCTTGATAATGATGGTGATCTCAGTAGCATTGTTATCAATTCTTTGCTTCGAAACTCGGGGGAAATTCCTAACCAAAATTCTCAAGGCAATAGCATTCAACGGTCATCTTATAGCTTTTCAAATAGTTTGATGAGTAGTGTGGAAGGGCCTGTGGACTCTCCAAACAGTATTCTCCAGGTCCCTCATATGAACAGTGAGATTCAATCCATTTTGCAATTTCAGAAGGGTGTTGAGGAGGCTAGTAAGTTTCTTCCAAGTGGAAATGGACTCTTTGCTAATTTGGATGTGGCTAATTTTTCAACTCTAGAGCCTAAAGAGGAGACTGATGAATCTTTTTGTGTTAAGGTTGAGAAGGATGAGGGGGAGTCTTTTCTTGCTGTATCCAAAGGAAGGAAGCATCCTCATAGAGAAGGAGGAGACATTGAAGAAAATAGAAGCGCCAAGCAAGCGGCGATTTACTCTGAACCGACTTTGCGATCAACTATGATTGATAGAATCCTGCTTTATAGTTTAGGGGATGGTAAGAATTACTATATTTCTCGTCGTGAGGCTTTGCAAAATAAGAACCAGAAGATAGTGCTGCCAAATGGAAAATCAAAAGCTACCAATAGTGGGAAGGGACGAGGTAAGAAGCAAAACGGGAAAAAGGAAGTGGTTGATTTGAGAACACTTCTGATTCTTTGTGCACAAGCTGTTGCAGCAGATGACTATAAAAGTGCGCATGAGTTTCTGAAGCAGATCAGGCAGCACTCAAACCCTTTTGGGGATGGAAATCAGAGGTTGGCTCATATCTTTGCTGATGGCCTCGAAGCACGCTTGGCTGGTACTGGAAGCCAAATTTACAAAGGACTTGTTAGTAAAAAAGCATCAGCTGCTGATTATCTGAAAGCTTTTCATCTATACCTTGCTGCTTGTCCTTTTAGGAAGATATCTAGTTTTATCTCAAATGTTACAATAAGGACATCTGCAGCAAACTCAATGAGAGTCCATGTTATAGATTTTGGTATCCTTTATGGTTTCCAGTGGCCTACTTTAATACAGAGACTTTCATTAAGGCATGGAGGACCACCCAAACTTAGGATTACAGGAATAGACTTCCCACAACCTGGTTTCAGGCCTGCGGAGAGAATTATAGAAACTGGACGCCGCCTGGCAGCATATGCTGAGACCTTTAATGTGCCATTTGAGTATAATGCTATAGCAAAAAAATGGGAAACAGTTCAACTTGAGGAACTCAAGATTGATAGGGATGAGTACCTTGTTGTTACCTGTTTTTATCGCGGTAAAAACTTGTTGGATGAATCTGTGGTAGTAGAAAGTCCAAGGAATAATTTCCTCAGTTTGATAAGGAAGATCAACCCGGATATATTCATTCATTGTCTTATTAATGGGGCCTTTAATGCCCCTTTCTTTGTTACTCGATTCAGGGAGGCATTGTTTCACTATTCTTCACTTTTTGATATGCTGGAAACTATTGTGCCCCGTGAGGACTGGGAGAGGATGCTGATTGAGAAAGATATATTTGGGAGGGAAGCATTGAATGTTATAGCTTGTGAAGGGTATGAAAGAGTAGAGAGACCAGAGACATATAGGCAATGGCAAGTTCGAATTCTACGAGCTGGGTTTTTGCAACAACCTTTTGATCGCGATATAGTAGAGAGGGCAATGATGAAAGTAAGGTGTAGCTACCACAAGGATTTTGTAATTGATGAAGATAATCAGTGGATGTTGCAAGGTTGGAAGGGGAGAATTGTTTATGCCCTTTCTTGTTGGAAACCTGCATGACTAACTAAGATGGTACAAGTGCATCTCACTAGGGCTTTGTGAATTAATTTGACTTCTGAGGAGCTCAGGTACTGCAGTTACCCCATTTCTCAGTTCTATTCAACAATGCTGGTTCATGTCATTGTTGTTCAATGCATCTTGAACTAACCTTAATATGATAATTGAACTGGGTATGCCCAGTATGTACGGTTAAAGATCAAAAGTAAAGGTTCAAGCTTTGAGTACAATTGGATCGAACATTGTTCCTGTATAGCCTGGTAGGAAAGTTGACTATCTATTCCATTCAACAATAGATCATTTAGGAAGTCTGTTGTTTGATTGCTAAATTGAGGATTGTTAAATGAACATGATCCAATATAATTTTATAGATAAATTTAGCATGTACTAAGACCAATCCTCTGATTTGATTGCTGTTACTCATTTTGAGGTTTCTACCTGATAACTGAAGATGGTAGCTTGTGTTATTTCATCTTGTAAACATAATCTAATGAGCCTTATGTTCTTTGTTCCTCATGAGTATTAATGAATATTTACTTTGGAGAAATACATGTTCCTCACAAGATGGCATGGTGTTATTTGAACTAGTACCTAAAACAAAAGTTTAAGTAGGTCTATGTAACTTAGATGCTTTGATTACTGGGAAGGACAACCCATTTTCTTAATATAAAATTTGATTTGCCTAATATGGTATACAAATACAGAAATACTACTTTTATTTGGGGGGTTTGCATTTGTCATTTAACATGACACAACAAACTTTCTTACACACACAACATTTTGTGAGGCCCACACTTTTTGAAGAAAAAAGAAAAAAAGAAAATTACGGCACGCAAAACGAAGCTCTATAACATTACACAAACACTTTTTCTACAACATAACTCTTATAAAACCCTTTATTTGGACGTGTTCTGTAATATTGTTGATATATGTATATATATAGTTGGTCACCATTCCTCTCTTGATTTTTCCTTATGTGGGTTGCTGATGAAAGTTGTTTTTTGGTACAGTTGCAGCATGAAACCATTGAAACCCTTCAGCATTAGCTCATTGCCTCTATCTTGTAGTTATTGAAAGCTGACCAAAAGGAATGCTATTTATGCACCTTGTGTTCACAAATTGTTATGGACTTAATTTTGATTCATTGTCATAATAAAATTGTTCTCTACTACCATGCAATCTTAAAAGTGTTTGAATGATGCGTAAAACTTTTCTTTCTTTATTTTTAAAACAATGACAGCGGATTAAAATTACACGCAGTTGTTAATACATGCATTATCCTAATGGTATAGAACATTATATAGTGGTGGACCTCGTGGTCCTTCAAGATTCCTACGGCGAATTGAACTTATTCATTAGGCAATAGTAAGCAGGTGCACTGATAACTAGGCGTGTAAATAGATAGTTTGGACTTTTGTCTAAATAGATTAGGTCTAGAAATAATAGTATTTTAACTCATTAAGTGTAGTTTAATTGGCAACACAAGAGAGTTGAAGTTTGTGCGGATAATCGCGAAACCGACTTGTCTTGAAGAGATAATTATGGTCGGTATATTAAAAAAAATATATAATACTTTAAGTCTAATTTAATTTATTAGTCTGATAGAGCTTAAATTATATGCCTAACTTGAATTAATTTTTAAAAATAAAAGATCTGTCGTGATCTAGCAAGCTTATTAGAATGTTAATTGTATTAAATTAAATATAAATTGCTTGAGAAATAAGAATAAAAAATAAATAAGAATAATTCTTATAACAATTAATTAAACTTTTCAAAATATTTTTAAATGAGAAATTAAGTAAAAATAAATCTATCTCTTTAAAATTCAACCGGTGATAGTGAAGCCTATAATTACAAGTGACGTATAAAGACCGGCTTATAGATTTTAAGGCTCGTTATCATAATTTTTTTAAGTTATATTTTTTTTCCCTCCCCATATTTTAATAGTTATAAGGATTTAAAAAAAAAATGTATACTTGTTCGTTAGGTTGCACCGACACTAACATGGAACACGTGATACGATACGACATGACACTCCGACACGTTAATTCTAAAAAATATTAAATTTTGATATGTTAGGACACATTTTGATATTAATAATATTTTTAATTTATGTAGTGTATATTATATTTAATATTCAATAATTTAACTAAAAAATAAAGCTAAACTTATAATACCCATCAATTTTGCAAAGAAACATTAGATATTCCAAATTTTTATATTAAACTCAATAAAATAGAAATCATAATCCAACGAATCTAATAGTTGAAACTCAAAATGCAACACAACATAATCTTTGAACCTTTTTTTGAGTCTTTACAACAAGTATTGGAGTGTCGGAAAGTGCCGGTAAGTATCGAAAATGACACGTCAGTGACTTTGAAGTGTCGGTGATTCACAGCTTGTTCGGATGTTAAATAAATTACAAATACTTTAAAGTTATAGTAATTTTGACTTTAGAATGTTTGTGATTTTTTTAAAAAAAATTATATATTTCTCTCAAAAGAGTTATTAATCTTTTATTTGTAAGTGGTGCATGCGTATATAGCTGGAAAAAATGTAATGCACGTGAGAATATCTCTAGAAACCATAATCCTGGCTTTTCTAGGAGGGATAAGTGTTTTTTATGTTGTAAGAGATAATTTATTTATCTCCTATACACACATAAAAGTGTGTATGACTCATATTTTTTTTTTTCTCTTCTTTTCACATGACTCCATATATGGGTCCCATATACTTTTATATATGTGTAAAAGATAATTTTTATCTCCTACAATATAAAAAAAACATCAATCCAAAAAGAAGATATTATGTATAGAATTGTATTCTTTACGTGCAATTCATAATTAGCATATACAATTTTCCTTATAAGGAGCGACGAAAATTAGATGCCTGCCTGCTTCTATAGAATTTTATTTTTATTTTTTAATGTTTTTTTTGTGCGTAAGTTTCAAAGCTATGAGAAGCAAGTGAGAAGTCACAAAAATGTTGAATTGATATGAACAAAACCTTGAAAATAAGGAAAAACAATAAAAGCAGCGTGGCTAGCTCACAAAGAGACTCTCAGATTTTTCTTCTTACACATATTTATTAAGCGATGCAAAGAACTTGCTCGAGTTAGAGTGACTAATTATCCGATGGATATATGATACCCTAAATTTTTCTTTTGGTATCGATATTATTGATTAACTATATATAATTTTTCTTGTGAAACCTTATCTGAGAGCCGTTAGATCAAAAAAGATCAACGATTTTGATTTGTAAGCATGTGACATCATTGATCTTTTTTTATCTAACGACTCTTAGATGATGTGTCAAATTTAAACCCTAAACCCTAAACCCCAAATTTCAAATTTGACACCGGTATCAAAAGATCCTACCTCATACTTTTTTATCTGGGAATTGGTTTCGGCAATAAACATTTCGATTTAGTATAATTAGCAACTAATATAGATACTAATAAACTAATTAGCATTTCAAATTCTTTAAAGAAGATATTGATGGTGATTAAATCGAGACATTCATGATATATTGATATTAGTGGGTAATTAAGTCATGACTGGTGGGTGACTTTTGAGAGGAAGATAATAAATTCATTTAATGGCATTGCATAAATGTAAACCGTTTAAAGCATGGACACATAAGCTAGTTTTAATATTTCACATATACAAAAACAATCCGAGATATTCAACAATGCTATATGTCTTCCATATTAAGCCTGAATTCAACTTTTCTTGAGAAAAGTCTTCATTCATTTGAAAGAGAATGGCCAAAAGATACGAGGGACTTTCTATAGGAATTGACCTTGGCACAACCTACTCATGTGTTGCTACATGGCAAGAGCAAAACGATCGAGCGGAGATCATACATAATGAACAAGGGAACCAAACCACACCTTCTTGTGTTGCTTTTACTAATGACCAACGGTTGATTGGAGATGCTGCAAAAAATCAGGCTGCCACTAACCCATCCAACACTGTCTTTGGTAATTGATCTTCTTTTGTTCTTGCATGCCTTCCTTTGTTAGTTATTATTCTTCTTCTTTGCTTGGTAGAGTAGGAAAATTTTATGAGGGAGCGAGAAATTCAAAATTCACACATAGGTAGAGTAATACAATAGCATGTCAATATGTAACTAGATTTGAAGAACTTTCCAAGTTTTTCTTACATGAGGAATAATAAGAACGAAGGGGAATGCTTAGGGTTGGCTCAAGTGACAATATGAGCCCGAGGACAGATGATGTGTCAAAATAATAGGGGTTCGAATCCTAAAGAGAACCTTTGGGGCCAATGTTGGATAATTGTTATGTCGCTCGACTCGGGATTAATCCAACGCTTGTGCGGCCCCTTTTCCAGCATGGGTAGTGGGGTCAATGGAGACCTCAAAATTAAGGTCATGGAATCCAAAGAAAGAACGAAAGGGGGAAATTTATGTTACACTACCTTTCTTTTAATTCTGAATGTAGTTTAACACAAAGGTTTAATGAACTTAATGGGTCGACCACCCCTTTTAACGAATAAATCTTTGGTGCTACTGTTGCACCAAAGATTCAGTGCATCCCATCAATAGAAACATTACATGTCAGCCAAAATTTTCTCTTTTTTGTCAAATTTTTTTTCTCTCCTCTGATATGTAATACTCTTATTGGTAGGATGCACTGAATCTAGGTGCAACAGATGCACTTAAGATTTATTCCCTCTTAACACTTATCCAGCTCCACCGCTGGACAAATGACACATAACCATAATTTTTACTTTTGCAGATGTAAAGAGGTTAATTGGAAGGAAATATAGTGATTCCATTATCCAAGATGATGTAAACTTGTGGCCATTTAAGGTCATTGCTGGTAGTGATGACAAACCCACAATTGTTGTAAAGTACAAGGGTGAGGAGAAGCACCTTGCTGCTGAGGAAATCTCATCTATGATTCTCACAAAAATGCGGGAGATTGCAGAAGCATTTTTGGAGTCACCAGTAAAGAATGCAGTTGTGACTGTCCCTGCTTATTTCAATGACTCTCAACGTCAAGCTACCAAAGATGCTGGAGTCATTGCTGGCCTCAATGTTATGAAGATAATCAATGAACCCACTGCTGCAGCTCTTGCATATGGGCTTCAAAAGAGAGCTGATTTAGTTGGAGAACGAAATGTTTTCATCTTTGATCTTGGTGGTGGAACTTTTGATGTGTCTCTTCTCACAATCAAGGATGATACCTTCAAAGTTAAGGCCACGGCTGGAGACACTCACCTTGGAGGAGAGGACTTTGATAACAGAATGGTGAATCACTTCATGCATGAGTTCAACAGGAAGAACAAAGTGGACATCAGTGGGAACCCAAAAGCCATGAGGAGGTTGAGAACTGCATGTGAAAGGGCAAAAAGGATACTTTCATTTGCAACTGAGACCACAATTGAGGTAGATGCAATATATCAGGGTCTTGATTTCTCTTCAGTAGTCACACGTGCCAGGTTTGAGAAACTCAACATTGAACTCTTTAGAATGTGTATGGATACTGTTGAGAGGTGTCTTAGTGATGCTAAGATGGACAAGAATGAAGTACATGATGTTGTACTTGTTGGTGGGTCATCTAGGATTCCCAAAGTGCAAGAGCTATTGCAAGAATTCTTCAAAGGGAAGGACCTATGCAAGAGCATCAACCCTGATGAGGCTGTTGCTTATGGTGCAGCTGTGCAGGCTGCTTTGTTAACTAAAGGCAATAATAAGGTTGTTCCAAATTTAGTGTTGTTGGATGTTACTCCTCTGTCACTTGGTATAGCAGAATATGGAGATTTCATGAATGTAATGATTCCTAGGAACACTACCATTCCTGCAAAGAAGAAAGAAGTATTTCACACTGTTCAAGATAACCAAGATGAGGCCTTGTTTATGGTTTATGAAGGTGAGAGAGCAAGAGCTAGTAATAACAACTTGCTAGGTTCATTTTGTCTTTCTGACCTTAATCTTGCTCCTAGAGGCCATCCTATACATGTATGCTTTGATATAGATGATAATGGTATCCTAAAAGTATATGCTGAGGAAGAAACCACTGGCAATAAGAAAGAGATTACAATAACTAATCAAAATGGAAGACTGTCTACAGAAGAAATTCAAAGATTGATTCAAGAAGCTGAGATGTATAAGGCTGAAGATAGAGAGTACAAGAAGAAAGTCAAAGCAATGAATGCTTTGAATGAATACGCTTACAAGGTGAAGAATGCTGTGAAGGATTCCAAGTTTAGTGCTAAGATTATAGCATTAGACAAGCAGAAACTTAAGGATGCAATCAGAGAAGCCAGAAATTTGCTTGATGGTAACCTGCAGGCCGATTCATTTGTGTTTGAGACCTGTATGAACAGGCTAGTGAGCATTTTTGAACCAATTAGAGTGAAGTTGAACCATGGATGGAATGATGAGGAAAGTGATGTGGATGATGATTAATAAAAGTTTAGAAATTTGCTTTGGATGTAACAATTTGATGGTGTAAGTACTGTTGGAGTTGCTTCTTTCTTTAGCTTCATTGATTTTGTGTTCCTTAAATATTCTATAATTAGGGCTAGTACTCTTCGAATTTTAAGGGTTCAGACTTGAGATTAATCTTGTAACAAATGCAAATATCTCTATTATTGATATTAGGAAAAAGGGAAAGGATCTCTTTACAAACATTTGTTTACAAACTTTTACAAATTACACTATGTACTCCCGGAAATACATTATTGGCCGAGTATATTTCTGGGAGTACGTAGTGTAATTTGTAAAAGTTTGTAAACAAAAAATTAGTAAATATAACCCTCCCCTAACAAAAATACTCTTATTCTAATAATTGCCATTCGTAATTTTTGATTTCTTTTCTTTTTATGTACCTAAGCTAATAGCATACGTGAATATTTCGGATTTTGGTAAACCATGTAAGGATAAAATTGTTTAGTTAGCACATTAAACACCAACTTTAATAGCTCAAGTTGATTAAGACAATGACTCACAAGAGAAAAGGGATTTAAAAAAATGCAAACTATTTTAAATTCAGGAATAAACTAGGAAGGAACTACAAACAATTACACTTATCATTAACATGACAAGGGAAAACTGATGCGCCGATAAGAAGATAAGAGTTTTTCTCAAGCCTTGCAATAATGAAGTCTATAACTTGCTTTGGACAGTCTTTTACTAAATTGCCAAGACACAATGTAAATATGCTTTAGATAGCACTGATAGCTTTATGGTTCACTCCCAAATTTAGATAAGAAGGATTTTTAGACCATGACAACAACATTCAAAATTAAAAACGAGTAGTGATCTGGGAAAAGAAAGCCTTAAAGTCCTTTGTTGCTGAACCTGCTCCCTCTGGTTTTGATGCCAAGTCAAATGCCTTAAATTGAGCCTCCTCAATATTTAGTGCCTGTTAAACCAATTGAATGAAGGGACAACCAAATCAGAGTTAAGCAAGAATTAAAAAGATGGTGGATTTATTTTATTTTTCTTCCAAGGGAAGTGGAGAGCTTTATTTGTTTAAGTTTCGGATCAGTAGATTGGGTCCGTCATCTGGCCCAATACCCTCAGTCCCACACTATTATATTCCTCCTGGAAAAACCGTACATGGTTATTCCAGAGGATTCTTATGGTGTGGGACCAATATTATTGGGGCAGGTGATGGACCCAATGTACTCGTCTGGAATAGTTTTCATATAATAACAAAAATAGTATACCTGAATGCAGACTTCTGCAACATCAGGTCTAGGTATGGTTCTAGTTTCAGTCTGGAGAAGTTCATCATCCTTCCCTACAATGAGTTCCCGAAGACCTCCCTCTTTATCTTGCAACCCACCAGCCCTGAAAGTTAGAAAAGATGGGAAAGAAAAAAAAAAAAAAAAAATCTCAGCATGGTAGTAGATCTCTCATATCAATGTGCATGTATTTTATTAAATTTTAAACTGTTAATGATAAAATTAATGGTTATTAATGCCACACTTTACTCTTTAAAGTGCATGCCTTACTCTCTAAAGTGCAAGCCTTACTTCAAACGATTTGAATCCAAGTAATATATATTTTTTAGTAAATATGACTTTTTATTTTTATATGTAAGGCACACATTGAACCTAAGTATCGATATTAATTCAAAGATCACAATATGATAATGTTCACTTTTACAATTAAATCTATCAACAGTTCCTTTCTTTTTTCAGAAGTAATGCCAAGAATTTTGAAAGTGTTGTAAATATTAATATTATTTATTTATTTATTATTTGTTGTATTGGGCTTAGCCCATTAGGTCAAGTATTCTAGGTCTTGTATTCTCTATAAATAGAGAACCTTTGTACAAAGTATTTCCACAATTCTATAATATATCAGAATACCTTTGCTCAAGTTGGTATCAGAGCTCTCGATTCTGAGGGTTCTGCTTCCGCAAATCACCATCTTTAAAAACCAACCCTATTTGCCTCTCGCCGCCACAAAGCCGCTGCCGGAAAAAAAAATTCGGGGACCTTTTGGACTGTGAGGACCCCTGTTTCACTCCGTTTTCTTAGATCTATCATTCTACGAAGGTTTCTTTTTCATCAGACGACCGGAACAGCTCAAAAAAAATAATAATAATAATTTCCTGCTTGTTTTTTTGTCTCCTCTCCATGGATCAGCTTAAACCTGCTATTGATAATATGTGTAAGCCATATGACCGTTCTTTGATCTTATCTGGTAAGAACACACGTTCTACATCTCTTCTTGCTTCTTGCACTGATTTTAAAACCTCATGGATTTTGGATTCTGGTGCAACTGATCATATGGCTTGTCGTACTGAGTTGTTTTGTTCTTATCATCCTACTGTTGGTAGTCATACTATATCCGTAGCTGATGGATCCCATAAATCAGTTATTGGTTCTGGTAACATTCAAATTCAACCTTCCTTGTTTCTTAAGAATGTCCTTTATGTTCCTCAGCTTTCTACTAATCTTATCTCCACTCAAAAACTTACAACTGATTTGAATTGTTTTATCACATTTTTTCTTTCTCATTGTGTTATTCAGGATCTTACCACGAAGAAGACAATTGGAGTTGCTAATGAACAGGATGGGTTGTATCATCTCCTTCCAGACCATGCTAGCAAAAATCAGTTATTAATGACACGTCATCCTTCTACTGCAGAGTCTATGATTTGGCTCCATCACAAGCGTCTGGGGCATCCACCATTTAGTCTTTTGAAGTCTATGTTCCCCTCTCTGTTTCTCAATAAGTCGGTTGAGACCTTTCATTGTGATGTTTGTGAATTTGCAAAACACCATCGAGTGTCATTTCCTTCTAGCACTATTAAAAGCAAGGAACCTTTTTCTCTTATCCATTCTGATGTTTGGGGCCCTTCTAAAGTGCACAGTGTTTCAGGTGCAAGGTGATTTGTTTCTTTTATTGACGATTGTACTCGGGTAACATGGATATACTTGATGAAAGACAAGTCTGAAGTACCAGAGATATTTATTCGGTTTCATCACATGGTTGAGACTCAGTTTGGTAAAGGTATTAAAAGACTCAGATCTGATAATGGTACTGAGTACGTCAATCAACGCCTGTCACAATTCATTTCAGACAGAGGTATGATTCATGAGCTCACATGTGTTGATACCCCTCAACAAAACGGGGTTGCTGAAAGGAAAAATCGTCACCTTCTTGAAGTTGCTAGAGCACTACTTTTCCAGACATCTGTTCCTAGTTCTTATTGGGGAGAAGCAGTGTTGGCTGCAACTTTTTTGATCAACCGTTTACCTTCACGGGTCCTTAACAATATCAGTCCTATTCATTCCATGACTTCCTTCTTTCCTTCTGTTCCCATATTGCAGAGCCTTTCACCAAGAGTGTTTGGATGTGTTGCCTTTGTCCATGTTCATAAACAACATCGGAGTAAGTTGGATCCTAGGGCTCTTAAGTGTGTCTTCCTTGGTTATACCCCTTATAAAAAAGGGTACAAGTGTTATCATCCACCAAGTCAAAATTTTTTTGTTTCTATGGATGTCACCTTTCAAGAATCTGAATCTTATTTCCTGGGTCCTCATCGTCAGGGGGAGAACAGTTCTTCAGAAGACTCGTCCCCTTCCTTCTTTGAGCCTGGATCAGTCTTCTCTCTACCTAGTGTATCTGCTCCTGCTGTGTCAGAACCTTCAAATACACCTGAGATACGGAAAATTTTGACACCTAAATTGGTATATCAGAGGAGGAAACAACCCATACTGTCTCACCAGCAACCTCAATCGTCTGAACCACTGGTAAGTCCTGAATCTCCTGTTTCTTCTGAGTCTCCTGTTTCTCCTGAATCTCATATTTCTGATCATGATGTTAATACTTCTGATGAGTTACCCATTAATGTTGATTCTGATGATTTGCCATTTGCTCTTAGAAAAGGAAAAAGATCTTGTCACAAGAAAACTTGTTCCTCCTGTCCCTCTTGTACTCAATACCCTATCTCCCACTTTGTTTCCTCTGTTAATCTTTCTGTGCAGCACAAAAGCTTTGTTTCAGCACTAGATTCTATTGCAATTCCAAAATCAGTGCATGAAGCCTTGAAAGATGGGAATTGGGCTCAAGCCATGCAAGAGGAGATGAATGCGTTGGAGAAAAATAAAACATGGGAGGTTATTGATAGACCCAACGGAAAGAAAGCAGTAGGGTGCAGATGGGTTTATGCCCTGAAATATAATTCTGATGGCACTCTTGAGAGATACAAGGCTCGATTAGTCGCCAAAGGTTACACTCAAACCTATGGCATTGATTATGAAGAAACCTTTGCTCCAGTTGCAAAGATGAATACGGTGAGAATCTTGTTATCCCTTGCTGCCCATTACAATTGGGATATAAATCAATTTGATGTGAAAAATGTTTTCCTCAATGGTGAGTTAGAAGAAGAAGTCTACATGGAAATCCCGCCTGGTTTTGATTCTGTGAAGGGGGAAAATAAAGTTTGTAGATTAAAAAAGGCCTTGTATGGATTGAAGCAGTCACCTCGTGCTTGGTTTAGAAGGTTTACTAAGGTTATGATGACCTTAGCATACAGACAGAGTCAAGGAGATCACACTCTTTTCTTCAAGCACTCCCAAAATGGGAAGCTTACTGTGCTCCTTGTATATGTTGATGATATTATTATCACAGGTGATGATTTTGTGGAGAGACAGATTCTGCAGACACGACTTGCCTCTGAGTTCGAAGTCAAAGACCTTGGGAAACTGAGATATTTCCTAGGGATAGAAGTAGCTCATTCAAGCAAAGGAATTTTATCAGTCAGAGGAAATATGTTTTGGATCTTCTCAAAGAAGCAGGAAAGCTCGGGTGTAAACCCTCTAATACTCCTATTGAGCAGAATCACAAGATAGGCTTTGAAGAGGAGAGTCCTCCAGTTGATAAAGGACAATATCAATGGCTAGTTGGGAAATTGATATATCTGGCCCATACTAGACCAGACTTAGCTTATGCTGTTAGTGTTGTCAGTCAGTTTATGCATGATCCAAAGGAGAAACACATGCAGGCAGTGGAGAGAATTCTTCAGTATCTTAAAGCTACTCCTGGTAAAGGACTGTTATTCCGGCGAGATGACAATCTCTCTTTAGAAGTCTACACTGATGCTGATTATGCTGGATCTGTGACGGACCGTCGTTCTACCACTGGTTATTGTATGTTTCTTTGTGGTAACTTGGTGACATGGAGAAGTAAGAAACAAGATGTGGTTGCCAGATCAAGTGCAGAGGCTGAATTTCGAGCCATGGCTCAAGGCATTTGTGAGTTACTATGGCTGAAAATTATACTTGATGATCTCAAAATAAAATGTGAGGGACCAATGAAGCTGCTATGTGATAATAAGTCAGCTATTTGTATAGCTCATAATCCGGTTCAACATGATCGGACTAAACATATTGAGGTCGACCGCCATTTCATCAAAGAGAAACTTGATAGCGGGTTGATTACCACACCCTACATTCCCACCGGGCGTCAATTAGCTGATGTATTGACAAAGAGACTTCCTTCAGATAGATTTCAAGAGCTTACTAGCAAGCTGGGAATGATAAATATTTATTCCTCAGCTTGAGGGGGAGTGTTGTAAATATTAATATTATTTATTTATTTATTATTTGTTGTATTAGGCTTAGCCCATTAGGTCAAGTATTCTAGGTCTTGTATTCTCTATAAATAGAGAACCTTTGTACAAAGTATTTACACAATTCTATAATATATCAGAATACCTTTGCTCAAGTGAAAGTGTTCCACCTAAAACAATCAGGTATGATGATAAGATTATAGTATTGTGTTGGAAGAGTTTCTTGGTGCAACTGAGGTTGAGTGGATTAAAAGTATCAACATTTTGTATATAATACAATTCCAAGGAAATGGTAAAGCTGTATAAAATTTGATACGTTATTCCATTAAAAGAACACAACTAAGAAAACAAAACACAAAAAACCTGGAAATGCTGTCTCAGGATGGACAGGAATTGATGTACCTTATAATTGTATATGGAACGCCAGAATCAGCCAGATATTGCTCAGCCTTTCTTTTCCAAACCTGCAATCAATATGAAAACAATATTCTTTCTATCAAGGGGTGACTAATGGAAGGTTATGTGGGAAGAAAAAAGGTACTATACTTTTACCAAACTTGCTTCCTTCTCTAAAATGAAATGCAAGTTCTAATAACATAAAAGCATGGCGAGAATGCTATGGGTGGTTGTAGTTCAGAAGTAATAGAGAAAACTTTACTAACCAATATATTCCCATTACCCAATTTGTTCAAAGGATGGTTAAGGTCTGTTCCCCCCATAGACCCTACCAACACAATCTGTTTCACTCCTGCAGCTTTAGCTGTTCAAATACATAAATGTAATTTCAATATGTCAAGCATGAATGAGTGTGTATTATGATCTATGATTAATGGAAAGAATGTATGGATTCTCACCAGCATCTATTTGATTTTTCTGTCCAATCCAGTCAACCTAATGTGTAGAAATACACCAAATTGACCAAAATATAAATAAAAGGAGATGAATGTCAACAATTACTTAAGCATAACATATGGAAAATGTAATATTACCTGCTCAGGATATGCGCCATCATCAAATTGGAACTCAGGTCCTTTACCTTTGGTCGGATTAAACCCAGGTTTTATCTGTGGCACTGCACTTGTGAGGATTATGAGAGCATCTATACCTTGAATTGCAGGAGCAATACTTTCAGCATCTCTTATATCCCCAACAAAAACATCATCTGCAGCACCAATGTTCTGTTTGCTTTCTTCTGTTCTAACCAGACCTCTAGCTACATATTGGTTTGGCCTCTCTTTTAAATTTTTATAAACTATTTGTCCTGAAAAAGTAACACCAATGAAACCACATAAAGAATTCTTCATCAGTGATAAAATGGATAGTGTCTATCCTATTTTGGCTACTGTCATTGAAGGCATGTAGTCATGAATTGAAATTTACTACCGTTTTATAACATAGATTGACCAGAAAGATGACTGACTGTATGACATTTTTCATAATCATAGGTCAAGGCGTGTTTGTTTCTTGTCTATGTAACACATATATCATATAACAACAGGTGCAAATATATTGTCCATTCAAACAATGTGCTAAAATAGATTTGTTTGAAGCCTTGAAAGTACAAATATCATCATGCTAGACCTGTCTCTTCTATGCGTGCTATTGAAGACAGATTAATAAATTGAGTTCAGAATATAGGTTACAATCCAATCTTCAGGTAAGCTAGTACAGAAAAATTGAGTGAGAATTGTGTGTTTGAAGCTTTGAAACTACACATCTCAACAATGTGACCAATCATGGGAAAGGTTGCAATCTTATGTATAATATGCCAAAAATAATCATACATAATTTAAGAACTGCTTCTTTATTGATAAGGCAACATCAACCAACAACCTTAACAGCTTGAAACTAATATAACTAGAGAGATTTTAGAAGATGAAATGTATAGATTGTAACATCTCGGGCGCTAACGAGGGCGGGGAGTGATCGCCTGTGCAAAAGGGAATGGACAAGGAGCGGCTCCTGACAGGCTTCAGGCGGGGGGTTACATGAACGAATGAATCGGATCGACACCCGAAAGAGAGGGATTCCAAAGACTGTGCAGGTATGAGACTGCACAGTTTGGAATAGCTTATAAGAATTAATTGGTACTACCTATACTAACAAGATGCATCTACTTTTCGGTAGTCCGAAACGAAAAAAACTCCATAGTTAAGTGTGCTTGGCTTGGAGCAATTCTGGGATGGGTGACCTCCTGGGAAGTTTTCCCGAGAAGTGTGCGAGTGAGGACTAAGCACGCTGAAAAGTCTCGTATTAGTGTGTAGGGACATGCGTTACATAGATCCACACATTTGATACACTATCCTCAAGCTGATGCAAATGGTACATTAACATTAAACCCAAATAACTGAAACCCTATTCTTTATGGTACACAAAACCTCTGTATACTAAGGTTCTTACATGGTAGTATACGTTTCCATTTGCAAGCCTAAGGCTTAGTACCGTAGAGCTTGTGTAAATTACTAAACAAATGAGTAGTTACTACTGCAATGACTACACAATTTTTTTCCTTGTTGTGTCTTTATTTTATTTTATTTTTAGTAAAATCATATCATGCTGTATCATTATCCCTTACTCCACATAGACAATGTTCTTCTGTTTGGACAGCTTAAGTTTGTCTCAGAAAGCCACATTGTAAACAAATCCTATCATTACATTTGCAGTACTAACAGAACCCACAAAAAATGTCAGAATTTTTCAGTTAAAGTAAATTTAGAGACATTAACCCTGCGTCAGAAATATCAATGCATCCAGATCATCAAAACCCATATTCACAAATCACAACCACTAAATTTATAAATTCCAACAACCTAAAAATCACTGAACCTCAATTAAAACCCATCTAACTAACTCCCACGAAATCCACAAACCCCACGTTTTAAATTCCATATTTTTCACTCTTTTCAGCCAAAAAAAAAAAAAAGAAGCTAAACCTGAAATGTCATTTTCTGGTCCAAATTCTCTCTCTCTCTCTTTCTCTTTCCATAGCAAGAAAATAAAGAATTTGAGGGAAACCCATCAAAGCATAGAACAAAAAGTTTGCACCTGTGCGACCACCAGCTCCAGTAACAAGCACAGTGCTCATGGGGGACTCTGACATGGCTACAACACTGGTTCTGATTCCCACCCTCTTCAGACCCTTATGGTTCAACCGTGCTGCAAGTGACAACGAAGACAATGAAGAAGAAGAAAATTGAAGAGAGGGAAGCCTTAATGACGAAGAAGAAACTGGTTGAGGAAGTGACTGCGCCACCCAACTGCATTTAAGGCATTGGTTGGGAACAGTGGTAGCGGAAACAAAAGGGACACGTGTAGCCATATCTATCAGGTTAGTTCACACAGTTTTCATTCTGCAATATGGAAAAATTTCTGAAGTCAATGAAGAAGAATGAATCCTTAATGACTATCACTATAGCATGTTGTGAATCGTAGTCACATTCACAACTGAGACCAGACACCGTTGTTTCTGTTTCTGGTTAGTTGGTGGTTGGTGCCTTGGTGCACTGTGTCTTTGTTGTAGCACTTAATATCGGTTTTGCGATGATGTTTTTTATGTTTACCTGATCTCAGATTTTCTTATCCCTTCACCTTATCTCACATGATGGACATTACATGACATATGTAATTAGTTTTCTTTTTCTTTTTCCTTTTTTGTAAACTTAAATAATTTAATGTGGACGGATTTAATTTTGCCACGTTAGTAAACAATGCTGGAGTGAAATTTTAGGTTTATTTATCCTTGTCTTTGATTTTTTTTTTTTTTTAATATGTTATAGTAAAGTTGTATATTGTTTTTAATACTAATATTAATACTATTAGTGATATATTTTTGTTGATATTATATACATAACAAAAGTCGTAGTTGAGGATTACGATTTAAATGCAAAGTTATGGCATGTGACTATGATATTAATTGTATTTGAGACTTTAATTTATAAGGGATTTGATTTTCTCACGTTGTATGAGAATTGAATTCTCATGTTGTGATTCAGTTAGTGGTGAACCTCATATTTATTGAAAAAAAAAAAATTATACGCAAATCAAAAGATCACAATATTAGAATTGAATTCTCGTATAACATAAGAAAATATTTTTTCTTAATGAAAATCACGATGAAAATCACATGTAATTCCCAGTGTACACAAGTCTTTCTTATCAAGCAGTAAGTAGTTAATTAACGCTTTATTGTTTGTTTAAGCCCTTAAGATGTGGACTCCTCTCTGCACACTTTCTAATTACATGATTTTTAAAGTCTAAATCAATATAACATTGAGAATGCAGTCTAGTCATGACAAAAGGAATGGATCCATTCTAGAGTCCAAGTTACAAACTGTATGTAAAACAACAGCAAGGAACAGGGCAGCTTAAGTCTTGGGTCATTCCAGCACTCAACATACATGTCATTTATAAATTCACAAGCTCACATGAGATCCAAACAGCTGAAATCATTACATGACAACATTTGTACATAGAGCATAGGCAGAAAACATAACATTCATATTACATCTCTGTCCAATTAATTAAATAAATAAATAACAACATGACTATAACATGCATTCCACATTCCATGAAGATTACCATTGCTCAGCACCTGCAAAATAAGCAGCCCACAAAGGGGTGAGACAAAATCTCAATTAGTGGCAAAGAATGCATCAAAACACATAGTGCAACTCAAGGCACACAAATACAACATTATGCAACAGTTCAGCATTATCTTATTAACATGAAGCCATGGGGACCGTTCTCCATCAATGATATTTTGGTCTTTTAGCCACATGAAACCATGAATGAGGATTGCGCCTTCCTCAATGGTTAATTTGTTTTTACATTAGCGTGAAGCCATGGTCCATGGAGTGTGAGTTACTCCATGGTAATTCAACTTACAACAACATACAAATATAATATTCAGGCACTCAAGGTAACACCATAACATTTTACATCATGGAGATAACGTGTTTCTTAGTTAGATCTGTCAAAACGGGCCAGAGTCCAAGGGTCAGCCCTTCATCCTCATTTTTTAGCCCCATTTTTTTCAGCCCACATTTAGTAGGGTTATTTTTGACCCTAGCCCCACTGACCCTCATTTCTTTTGGGTTAACCCAATAACCCTACGGGCCAGCCCCATCCTTTTTCCTCTGAACCCTAATTATCTGATTTCTTTTTCTAGTTGAGGTTATATTCCTCAATTAATCCTAGCTACACGCCGACCAACATACGTACATATAGTAATATAATTCAGTTTGCTCCAACAAATCACAAATTATACATACATTCAGCAACATAATCAAGGTACTTATATTTTCTTTTCCATGACTTTAACATGCAGTCAAAATAAGAAGCACTACAAACCCAAAACAGCCCTCCTAAGCCACCAAACCTTTCTCCTAACTCTATTACTGAAAGCTCAAGAAAGATAAAAGAGTCCTATGATTTACCTTCGTGAACCTCTTCCAATGGCGAAGGATTTTTCAGCACCCAAACTCTTCAAAGAACGCAATGTTTTCCATAACTCAGATGTCTCCCATTCAGTTACCAATTTTCTAGCATTTGTTGCGAAAAATAATTAACAGCACTTAAATAAATAATTACTTAATACATAATTTAATGACCAACAAACAATAAGTTTTTACTATAACAAAAAATCATATTAAGGTGAAATCGGAATGTCACAGCGACCAAAACTAAAGTATGAAATAAAGTTAGATTACCAAAAAAAAAAAAGTATGAAATAAAGTCATGTACAATATGTGAGAGGTTTTTCACAAGTAAATAATTAGGGTTTCATTTTTCCTAATTTTCCTAATTCTCAAAATTAGTTAAAATTCAATTTCTTGATGGATGGTAATTAAAAGTTATAATAGCACAAAAATACTAAGGCAACAACGTAGCTTTGTAGAAGAAATAACTATAAATTACTTACATTTTACACCCAAGGTAGTTGGTAGTTATCGTTCATATTCTCTCAGAACAGCGTACACAATCTCATCCTATGAAGCTCAACATATATTAGAATTAATTGTAATTGAATTATTGAATTAAAAATATTTAATTATCTCTGTTGCGACTTCAGTAAGCGCACCAGTCGTACAAGTAATAAAGTGTATGAATACGAGATTGTTCCCACGAGAATTAGAATTCCAATTACTAATTTGCTATTTTCGCTTAAGTTGGATAATCAATTAAGAGATTTGAATGAAATCTAAATTCAAAATTAAAACAAAAAGATAAACTTTGAATTACTAGACAATCAAGAAACACAATTAGGAGTTCGATTTCCCCAAATTTCTCATTAATTCCCCTAAATTAGTTAAAACTCAATCCCTTGCTATTCTAACCCTTTACTCCCTTAAAAGAATCCTAATTCCTTGGTATTTCTCAAAAGGATTTAAGCATTAATATCAAGAATAATAAAAGTGGCATATGGCACAATTCATATATATACCAACGTAATGATGTATGAGTCAAACTAAATTTATATACCAAAATTCATATGGCACAGTTCCTAGAATCATACAAATTAATGATGTATGAGTCAAATCAAATTTATATACCAACATCATTATTGTCATATACAAATTATAATTCAATCTATAAGAACAACTCATAGAAGGCATTAAGCAAAGACACATTCATTCAATATAAAAAGAAAAAATTACATTAAAAATTAATTCAGAAACATAAAGATTCAATTGGGTTCCCTAACTACAAAAAAAAACTAGTCTGACATAGTGGAATCAAGAAAACAAAAAAGCTTCCACAAACTCCATTGATGTTATGGCACAATGAATCTTCAAGGTTGAAGACCTCTTAAGCATTATGGAATAAATATTTTGATGATGACAAAGGGTTTACAAGAAGTCTCAAATTGAAGATGGAGTTTGAAGATACAAGTAGTTAGGTATTTTTCTAGAATTTTGTTACACACAATATTATATCATATAATATCTTCCTAAGCTCCAATGCATATCATTGCATTTCATGCATTTAATTTCATATTAAATAATAATGATTAGTTTTGTTTGTTATGGTTAAGATTTAAAATTTGAGTAAATCAAATAAGTATTATAGGTTTGGTTAGAATTAAAAACTAAATCAATTAGATATTCAATATAACTAAAATTAAAAAAAAAAAGTATGTTACCTTTTCAAATTTTAATAAGGAAAGCAACAAGTAAAGCAATTTGCATTCACGTGGATGCACAAGTTACTATAAAAAATAAATAAAATAAAAAAATTGGTTTTTCAAAATTTAATGTAAGTGGTCTGCATTTGTATCTACTTTTACATGTTTGAACTTTAAACTTTACTCATCTTTCCTTTTCGTAATATATACGCCGGTCTTTAGTGCTTTCTCACAATAATAATAATAATAATAATAATATAAAAAGAAATAAAAAAAGAAAAGAAAGAAAGCTATCAGGTAAAGCTATTAGTTATCATATACATTCACGTGACTTTCAAATCAAAAAGCAGTATATAAAGAAAATAATAAACAAATAAGAGATGTTACTTTTACAAAAAAAAAAAAGAAGCTCAATGAAAAAGAAAAAAAAAGTTCTCACTCTCTCTGATCGTCCACATACAACAAAACAACGCTCATTCATTTTCTTTAGGAAACAACTTGAACAGAACCTCTTCTTCGACCTGCACACAGAAGCGAAACTCATTTCTCTCGGATAATCGATTTGAAGGCACAACAAAAGAAAAAGAATAGCAAACTCTTTTTCTCACTTTCTCTTTCTCGCGATTAATTTTCATTTTTCTTTGTGGTGGCTGCATATTGTCTTGGGAAGAATTTGAGGATCTTTGATAAAGAATTTAGGGCTACATTGTGGTATTTTCTAACCAACTCAAATCTTTTATGAATCTTTGATTTGAAGCATTTAATCTGAAATTTCTAGATCTATTAGTCATATGCTTCAAGGATTTTGAGTGGTTTAATCTGAATATTAAATCTGTTGAGTTGTTTATTGATTTAGGGATTTATTGTTAAAATTCTGAATCTGATTTCTCTATTCAAATTGTGATATTTTATTTTAAATCATATTTCTTGGTACTCATTGATTAGAAAATTAATTGTCTAATATACAAGCTCCTTGATGCAGTAATTTTAGAGATTTTGATACATATGTCATTGGTTTAATTTTCTGCATATGGCATAAATTTGTGGAGCTTAGTTTGATATTACCGTGATATATTTGGTGTGATAAGACATTGTATTTTTGGATTATTTCACTTGTTACAATTCTGAAAAATTCTGTATTGGTTGTTAAAGTGGAGTAGTTGCAAGCTGTAAATCTGTCCTAGATGTGTGGGTGCAACTGTGT